ACTTGAAGAGCGTCGTGGAATATTCCCATACAGAATTGATCGACCCAGTTTTCATGGAGCAGTTGCAAAGCTGTCCGGGCAAGCTTGCAGCGATGTCCCGTAAGTTGGATGCCGTGTTGAAGAAGATCGAAAATCACATCAGATGGAAGAGGCTTGGAAACTCCGTACTCCGCAAATCGGAGCACATAGTGTGGCTGGTCGAAATACCGTCGGCGATATTCTTAGGGCCCATTGGTGCCCCCGTTGCCGCTGGACTCCATGTGGGGATCGGTTCTGCGGTTACTACACTATCACCATTGCTGGACCATTCGATAGATGTTCTGAAGCGGATAAAGGAAGAGGTGGAATCGCTGAAGAACGCGATCACGATAGAACAGACACAATTGGAGGATATGATAGGATTGGTAAATGCATGGACGAATCTCTACAAATCAATAGCGGAAACCGCCGAGATGGCGGTGGAGAGGAAATCGCGAATGCGCGCGGCCATGAAGGACATCGATGACTGGAACTTGTCGCTGACGGACGTGGAATTTGATCTATGCATTGAGATTGAAGACCGCGACACAAAGCTCCGGTCTGTTTTTGCCGATTCTCCCGACAAGATCGTAGAGTCACTGAGGAACGACAAGAAATGCATGTCAAAGCTCTTTCGCCGAGCCAAACCGAAGCTTTCCCGTTGAGAAACTTTGTCTCCGTTGGTTCCTAGCTTTGACTAAGGTTGACTATCTACCGTAGTATTCCATTTATATATTCCACGTGTTCAGTTGTTGATGTAACTTTCTTCTTTTTCTAAATATAATAAAAACGTATGATCGCAAGAACATTGACATTGACGGCTCACCTTATTGTGTTTAAGATTATTTATCAAAGTAGGGCTCAATGGGCCTATTTTGTTTACAAATAGGCTTAAACCGAGGCCCATTCGACCTATTTCTATTGGAAGCTCATAGATTAATTTGTAGAAAAACTTTTCCAACAAAAAATCTCATATACGTTGTATTATATTCATAAATGCGAATATAGGCGTGGTCATTTAACTCAAATGACCTACTTAGGTGGCATGAATTTCTTCGGAAAACCACCGAAAAAAATAAATTTTTTTTTTAAATTTTTACACCACTTTTCGGTTAGAAAAGTCCGAAATATCCTTTCTTTTTATTTTTTTGCGACCTTATTACGACTAACATATAACTAATATACAACTAAAATAAGAAGTAGTAATAATCGTATGAAGATAAAAGTGTAAAAAAACGTAGTTTTTTAAAAAAAATCGACATATGAATTTTTTGTCACCTTATTTAGAATCAATTGCAACTGTATTTAGAATTAATTATGAAGTCGTAATAACAAAATTGTTTTCGAGCGAATAAAAAACGTGTATTTATTAAGGGTAATTTAGTCTTTCTGAAAAAATTTAATAGGTTATGTTTTTACGGATGTACCCGTGAAATTGCTGCGACCCAAGTGGCTCGAGTAAAATGCCCTCTATATTTGTTTTCTTTCATTATGGGTATTTTCCAAAAAAGCAACGGATTTTGACATGGGGCTTATCTAATTCTTATCTTCATGTCGAGGGGCCACAATGGTTTTCCAATTTTCGGGGATAGACAAAAGAAAAGGTCAGTTCTAATGAAAATATCTAGATATTCATTTATATATATATATAGATTCATCGGCCACCTATAATCAATTGCGTGAAGGGTGGGATCACAACATTATTTTTTCTAGTTTAAAACCATGAACTAGAAAACCGGAAACCAATAGATGGTATTGTAAGCTAAGACCTTTCTATAAATATAAACGTCCAATCGAATCTGAAAGATAATTTCTCAAAGCCTCTACGGCCAGCAACTGAATTCCAGAAGAAAAAAAAATGGAAGGGACGACACAGAGGAAGATAGTAGTGGCAGTGGACGAAGGGGCAGAGAGCATGAATGCTCTTTCATGGAGTCTGGCCAACCTTTTCCCCTCTGGTTCCGATAATACACTTATCCTTCTCTACGTCAAGCCTCCGCCGCCCCCATACTCATCCCTCGATGCCACTGGTTCGTCTCTGAATTTTCATTCACCCGCCCTCTAGTCTCTGTTCTTGTGAAGAAGAAGAAGAATCACTTTGTGAGAATCTGTCTGGTTTGTCTTCAGGGTATATGATTTCAGGGAATATGATGGAAGCTGTGGAGAAGTATGGGTCTGAGCTCGTCGAATCGGTCATGGCCAGAGCTCAAGCTGTCTGCAGAAAATTCACCTCCCATGTAAGTTCATGCTTATGTTTCACGGTATTGATATGAATGAATATCATAGATATATATTCATCATACCTGCATGTTCAAAGGATTCATCGAAAATACAGGGCAAAGTGTAGACTGTAGAGGCGGGCTATTGTCGAAAAGATGATTGAACCAAGTCCTAATATGTCATTGTGCAGATTCTTGTGCAGAGGGTAGTGGGAAGGGGAGATGCAAAGGAAGTGATATGCAACACAGTGGAGAAACTCAGAGCAGATACATTGGTAATGGGCAGTCATGGCTATGGCTTCTTCAAGAGGTATAGTCACAAAAAAAAAAACAGAAAGAGAACTCATCTCTATGTTTGCATTAAGACAAAAGCTCTTACCTTTCGATTGGGGTTTATTATGGTATTTGTTCAAAGGGCTCTGCTGGGGAGTGTGAGCGAGTATTGTGCCAAGCGAGCCAGGTGCCCTGTGATCATCGTGAAGAATCATCCTCAGATGAACTGATGAGCTGGTTATCCACAATGAATGAAATCATCAAACATCTGTACCCATCTAGATATCGATATTCTCGTGAATGTCTCTGTGTGCAAATGTAATGATCGCTCATTCTTAAGCTGAAAGCATCATAGCGTACGACAGCAGAGTCGAATTGACTGGCTTGGGACAGCATTACTGTTAGATTAAACCAAAGCTATCAGAGAAACAGGAACGTATCATGTAAGATTCATCAAGTTATCACATAATTCAGTCGCACCAGAAAACGCCATTGAAAAAAAAAATTGATGCTCTGATATAAAGACATCAAGGAAACCAATTTCCATGGAAGCAGAAAGTGGGGTCAGGGTCTATTCCTGGCTGGCGTCAGATCCACCATTCGTATTGTTGTCCTTCCTCGCATACCTCTGGTTCCTCAGGAATTTCGGATCCATCTGCATCCATAATGATAAGGATATACCAAGATCACGGAGAATCTTCTCATCATCTCACAAATCGAGAGTGGCATTTGTCATCTAAACCCATAAACTCCGCTATGTCTGCTTAAAGACAGAAACTTTAACCAAAAATGAACAAATCAAACTCACCCCTTTAGTCGAAGTATGTCTGTGTCTTCTGGGTTTTTTTATCCCGTTCTTGTGAGCCTTGTAAGACTGGTTGTGGGCTGTGTGGTTTTTCGATTTCGCCATTTCTGCACAACCAAACCAATCATCAATCTGAGTTTTCCGGACGACAAAAAAGGGAATTGTGTTCTGATGTTGCAGCCAAATACGTCGAGATTGAGGGTAAGCACAAATACCGCTGGAAGTTACACCAAATGCGAGATTCAGGAGACTGAACGAACATGGGGATTACTTATTAGGGTTTCCAACCCGCAGTCTTTTACAAGGGAGACGAAATCAAAGTTTGGGTATTTACAGTTTAGGTGTCTAATTCTAAAGTAATTATATATGTAGACTTCAGTTATTTTTATTAGTGTATGGCCCCAATAGTATCCGTTACTGGCCCGATCACCATAACATTTAAACGACACCGTTTCAGGATGCGGATCCCAGAAGACAGAATCGAATGTTCCTCTTTCCTATCTCTCTCGAAATTTCATCTGCGTGAAATTCTTTCTTCATTCGGTTGCGTAAAACCCTAACAAAGGAAGAAGCCATGTTCCTAGTCGATTGGTTCTATGGAGTTCTCGCGTCGCTCGGACTGTGGCAGAAGGAGGCGAAGATCCTGTTCCTTGGTCTCGACAACGCCGGAAAAACCACCTTGCTCCACATGCTCAAGGACGAGGTTCAATTTCCTTCACCCCTATTATGTAATTTCGGTCGAGTTTCTTCGAATCCGTAGAAACTCAGCGTCGTTCTTAGTTTGATCGGACGAAAACTTTACCTTTCGTTGTTCGGTTATCCTGACGAGGGTTTCGGTTTCAGAGACTGGTCCAGCATCAGCCGACCCAGTATCCGACGTCGGAGGAGCTTAGTATCGGGAAAATCAAGTTCAAGGCGTTTGATTTGGGAGGTCATCAGATAGCACGCAGAGTCTGGAAAGACTACTATGCTAAGGTAATGTCTGGTGGTGATCGTGTTCTTGCAAGCAGATGATTCGTATTCTAGGTGAATCGGGTTCGAATCTTTTTAGAATTTGCATTTTCTGATTAGATGAAGATACAAGTAGTGTGGTGATAATCTCGCTATCTGCTCCAAATTCCGTGTCATAGCCCTTGCGTCAATCACATTAGTCACTGTATACTTCTGTTATCAAACTATTGTCATCTTGGATTGATTGCATCGTGCGCAAATTTGGCAGAGAGATCCGAAAGCTTAAAACCTATATGAATGAAGTTCCAGTTATTCCATCATGATGGTTTCTGGAGATGGCATAGCTCAGTAGAGTTCCGTACACCACACATGTTGAACTCCATTGATTTTAGGACCATCTGTATAACATTGCCTGGTTCTTCCTTAAAGGTGGACGCAGTGGTATACCTGGTGGATGCATTTGACAAAGAGAGGTTTGCAGAATCGAAAAGGGAACTGGATGCCCTTCTGTCGGATGAAGCCCTAGCAAACGTCCCCTTCCTTATACTGGGAAACAAGATTGACATCCCATATGCTGCATCTGAAGACGAGCTTCGTTACCATCTCGGCCTCTCCAACTTCACCACCGGAAAGGGCAAAGTGAATCTGGCTGGCACAAACGTCCGTCCCCTTGAGGTGTTCATGTGCAGCATCGTCCGGAAGATGGGCTATGGCGATGGGTTCAAGTGGGTTTCTCAGTACATAAACTAAGTGGTTGATGACGGTCCTGTCAGAAGTATCACCCGTATGCGAATGTTTGCCCTTTTGTTAGGGTTACTGTCTTACTGCTGTATTAAAAAAAACGTGTGAATGGTGTGGAGTGGATACAGTTTTCATGTAAATAGGGTTTCAGATTTGTGAATCGGTATTGTTACTAGTGCCACGTTCATACGGCGCAACAGTTTAATCGCATAGCATGGTTCAGAGATGGCCGTCTCTGTGTTGTTCTCAAGGGACAGATGGGCCTTTCGTGTCTTTGGATCAGTTCGGCCCAACAGTGTACAGAGTGCATGAATCCATCTCGAGAAATCATATAACAGAATGCTTTTGAGTTGGACATGTCGTGATGATTTGTATATATATAAAGACTAAATTCATTTTCCGTGTGAGGAAACATACAGACCAAACGCATAACTAAATAGGCCGAAATGTCCGAAAAGGGAGTGGGAGAGAGGGGAGGTGGCTTCTGGGGCCTAAAGCATTGGCTGGCTGTTTTGATGGGATGAAGAAGAAAGGTCCATAAGCCATGTGAAGTGGCTTCGACATTTAACACATCAATATATATGTCATTTGTCCTTTTATATACATCTATATACATATATATATATATATGGGAAATTACATTACATGTGTGGATGTGGTACGTTTATTATGTGATCATCATATGTACCCCACACTCGTACACTACTTTTCTTGACTTATCTCCTCCGCTTATGTCCCTCTTTGCTCGATATTATTGGAACACATTTGCCATTTTGTTGCATACATATGTGCCCATATACCCTCCACATATATCTTATATATTTTTTTTTGTATGAAGTTCGATGCATTTTGATCCAAAAACTATTTGATCTCTGCACTTCTCTCTCTGTTTTTGTTTTAAAAAAAAAAATATTTGTAGTGTTAAAGAAGCTTGAAAGCAACCGCCATGTGTAGTGTATCCAACTCATACAAGAAAATGACTCCTCTCGTGCCATTGCCATGTACATTATTTGTTTGTGATTGACCCTCGCACTTGGCGTTAACTCATGCAACCGTACCTGCCATTGACATGCTTATGCCATTTTCAGCAATAGAACTTGATTTTAAGTAACTAATTAACTCAATCTTGAGACGCAGTCACTAATCACGTATATTCTAATGTGTCACGATCATTTACTTACAGAATCTTAGAACTATAATCAATGACATGAATACATACATACATATATATAGAAAGTAATGGATCACATAGGTTTTGGAAAAAGACCACAGTGGCTGCCGTGAGATAAGGTTTTCATACGGGGATGAGTATTTCTGACAAAGCCATGAAACTACAAAAGTCTGCACTTCTCTTACAACTTTTTTTACATGTTTTCCCAATTATTGCATTCTCCCTATATATATATATATATATATATATATATTATTTTTTCCTTATTTTTATTTCTTCAGCAGCTTTTCAGCAAAGCATTGCCCCTCCTTTTCAGTCTTTCTGTATTCATTTGTTCTTGATAACTGTCATATGTTTACATTGTTATATGCGACTATATAAATATATATACACGTTTAGAAAAAGATCGTTTTTTACATTTATCTACGTACATATGTTCGTTTTAGTCGATATATATATTTTTTTTGGCTAATTCTATGCAAAAATTTTGTACAAGCGATTTCGAGTGACGGAAACAGAAACCATTCTTAAGTTAGATGTACATTTTTATTTGCAGCGCTGTCACTTCATGCTCATTACCACTCGTGGCCGAGTGGAAGATGTTAAGATAAATCCCAAATCACATATGAAGTATAGTAAAACACACAATTTAGAAATACTTGAATTAATTAAGGTATTGAAAATAACGAGTTTTTGGTGGCCACATGGATCACTCTTTGGTGATAATCTCGCTATCTGCTCCAAATTCCGTGTCATAGCCCTTGCCGGATAAAAATCTCAAAGCCCGAAGCTTTTGGAACGAAAAGAGGTCTCCGTGGTGTGAATTTGAGAGAAACTAGATGATTGGTTTGTATATTTATATCCTTGTTTTTGTAATTACGTCATGTTTAAAATAACAATAATAAAAACGAATTATACCCATCTGTGATTCCCGCAAAGTGGCCGTCAGAATCAGAGCTTAGATATTTGCTCCCATTCGGACATTGTTTGGTTTGTGCCCTAAAACCCATGCCTCGGGAAAAGGTTACACAGTGAAGCATATTGATAATCTGCAAAGCACAGAAAAAAAAATCAAACAATTTTGGTCATCTTTTAATCGATCAATAGCTTGTATTTATCGGAACTGTGCAATGAATCGAGTGCCCACTTGTAATGTCAGCATGTTCATATATAATGCTGATTTAAAATCTTCATAAAGGTATATATACTTTATTCTATAAACTAATACGTTTTTAGTTTAAGCTTATAGATATATTTACATATGTAGTTTATAGTTATATGTTTTATTACAAACAGACATTATATAGCGAAGTAGAAAAAGGGAAGTCGTCATGCCATGGTAAGCCATAACTAAAAGGATTTTTATCTATGTAAGAGATTTGTATGTATGTATGTATGTATGTATGCATGCATGCATGTGTGTGTGCGTAAACTGTGCCTCCTCGGATAGCAACATGTTTAGAGAATGGGGACCGTTATCTTTAAAACAGCAATTATAAAAACAATAAACGATAAATGATTACAATTAGCGGATAATGGCCTTATTAATGTGTTGTTATAATGACCGAGATTCCAAGTGTTTGATTAAGAGCCACCCTGGCAGATCTGTGACCACTTAACTATACAAACACTATTAACATTTCGTTCATATATTGGAAATTTTGTTTGGTGTACATATAATGACCGAGATTCCGCTTTCTTTATTTTTTTTTAATTTTTTTTTTGAAAATTTTCCATTTACTACAGTAATTCGCCTTCCACTGGACAATATATAATTAGTAACATAGCTAGAGCTACATATCGAATTTCAAATGTTATTATTGTACTAACATAGCTTATTCTCCACGTCGAGGTTGATCATTTCGACTAGATTCTACATATACCATAAAATTAGTTAAGATTAAATCTTGATGCAGATATTTGTCGATTAAACTTGGGGGGAGGGGGGAATAACCAAAAGTTAGAGAATCTTTTCAAAACTATGGGATAATAGAGAAAACAATAATGTCTTGATGATATATACATATCCACACAAATAAATCCGGACAAAAGTGGAAGGAAGTTGTGCCAGTTATACAATTTTTAATAGATTTGATTTTGTTGCAATATTTTATATTTATGGGGAAAAAGAGCAGTTCCCAGTTGTCAGGGCAAGAGAGAGAATCCTACGACGAGAAAAGCCGAATTTCTCCTCACCCACTCTGCATTATTATTTTTTATTTTTTATTCGACCATTTTCCGAGAATTTGAAATCATGAGAAGGAGAGAGAGAGAGAGAGAGAGAGAGAGAGGCACAACATCAACATGTGTTTCTCCACTGCTGCATTAATGCCTTCGTGATGAGCTTGTCCTTGTTTTCGAATTGTATTTTTCTCCTAATTTTTTTTTAAAAAAAGAGTTTTTATTATTATTATTTTAAAAGAAATACTCAAATGCACTTTAAATTCAGAACCCTACAATTTTTTTGTCCAGTGGATGTCAACAGCGGGACGAGACATGTGTTGTGAATATGCATGTGTTTTTATATATATTATTTCATCCCTCAACGTTAATGGAGAGAATCTGTAATTCTCTGTTTGTTTTCATTCGTATCCTGTTAACCGATTAGCACGCAGATTTGATTTCGAGTAATTAAAATTACCACTATGGGTGTAGTTGCAATAATTATGGAATTTTCCATATATATATATATATATATATATATATATATATATATATATATGTATGTGTGAGGAATAAAAGGATGGGGTCCATAAGCTCATCATGCAAATTGAACCTCCATCGATTCCCTCTTTCCTCCAATGAATTTTACGATTAGCCTCTTCCATTATTAGAACCCATCATCAATATACATATTGATGTATAGATATTTTGCCCATCTGGTGTGAGATGTACAAAAAGATCGATGCCTGGAAAAAGAAAAATGATGCATAGAAAAACAAATACACAATAATACGTGCGTGCATTATATATATATGATCTGCATGCCTATAGTATGCATGTAAACATATAAAATTCACGCCTAAATCTTGAAGTTGTAAAATATCACACACTATGCTATACATATAGGTACATGCATTAATATACATATATATGGTATAAAAGTAAAGTGTATATGTATATTCATGTGTGTATGGGGCATATAAGAGGGTCCCAGTCGACCTGGAACCAGACTAGACTATATGATCAACACAAGACAATTTTGTAAACCCTATTTTTTTTTTTAATATAAAAAAATGTATTTACACGATACAATCATTTGCCTCTATTTTCCGCTCCTTGCGAGCTTTTATCATAAACCCACACAACTACACAGGGAGACACGACACACTGTTTCAACCCCCTTTCGTATCCATTATATCGGATGTAAAATAGGTAATGTTTCTTTTTAACCACCGTTCTCAGTTAAAAATTAATTGTCAGTAAAATCTATAGTACGAGTTAAATAGATTTCACCGTCTAAATAGATATTCTTGTGCGAATCTTTTTTAATTCCTTTTTTTTTCGCATCCGAAAAAAAAAACTATCATCACAAAATCATGAAAACCAAACATAGTCCGTGACATAATTATGGTAAATCATGTCAATGATTTCCGGTGGGGAAAAAAAGTCGCTTTTATTAATTGAAATTATAACGTGAAACGTAGGGTTGGGCATTTATACCTCTTATCCGCGGGTTTGCAGATATCCGGTCTCGTGGATATCCAAAAAACGGGTACTCGCCTCTGAATGAAGACGAAAATGGGTACATAAAAATGACAATGAAGACGGGTACGAATTTCATTTTTACGAAGACGGGTATCCGCGAGTACCCGTAAATATATAAAAATATCAAATATTCCTATATTTTTTTAATTATTTATTTAAATATTAGGTTTTAACTTTTCAAAATTAACATATATGTTTAAAAAACTTTAAAAATCTATATATATTCAAAGATATATATTTTTTATATTTTAAATATATTATTTGAATTAAATAATATAATTTTACTAAATCTTTTGGATACCCAAAGCCGTAGATAAATAACCGGTTCTCACAACCAAATATAGATCGTATAAAACGTTTTACCTTCTACACTACTCTAATGTTTAAGTGTATTATATCGAACATCCAATCATACATGTATATATATATAATGTGTATAAATCTGTTATAGAACATACAGAAATGTTTTTTTTTATAAAAACATTACAAATATTATTCTGATATAACTGTGTAGATTATTCTATTGTATTTTTTAAATACATTACAAAATGAAAACAAAATAAAATAAGCAATAACAAAATCGTGGTTAGAGTGTGGTACGCCAAACATGCACACAATCATAAAACACCCTCTATATATGAAATGAGCAGTCGAATAATTGTGTCTAAAACTATGCTGAGCTGTCCCCAATTTATTGACTCTCTCTTCTTCATTGGGCTTGCACTCGTTTAAAAAGGACACGTGGCTGTACATAAGTTGGGTCGAAATTTTTATATAAACAAAGGGTGTATGTATATACGCATATAAATGCTGAAATCGCATCATACCGGATGTTACCTACCCCTCAATTGATCTATTTAATTACCGTAATGCCATAAATCTCGCCACTCCATTGACCTGATGCGCCACGCGCTCTATTTAATGGATTTAATTTTTGGACCATACTGCGTTCTCAACCCAACCAATTAGACATAATGTATGCAGCGTATCAATCATGAGAAATAATTAAGGGAGAAATTCTATATTGAGTTACATCCTTGTGGTTCGTAAATATCATTAGGTTATAATCCTGAAAACCATTATAGTCCGTATGATGGGTTTCATTGAGATCCAACGTATCAAAATATCCATGTATCATTGTAATTATAACATGGGAAAAATAAATTATTAGATAAATGAATTTATGCTTTGGCCGTCTAGCTTTAACATGGGCATTATAATACGAAAAGGCTTCACATGGTCAACTTATGCTCCATTTTTATTCGCCAAACAAATAACAGGGAAAGAATCTAGTAAAAGTAGAGCAAAGAGATAACAATCATTTGAATTATTTATCAAAGATATATATGAGAGAATGTAATAATTTGTCTGCCTGTGCCCCATAATATATCTCATATGAAATTTAATTCTCTTTTTTTCTTTAACGATGATAATTGACTTTGAAATATAAGAAACCGATGGCGAAAATCTCAATAAACATCAATATTATAATTAAAAAGAATAGAGCGATTCAATTGTTAATGCAATTCTAGGTAACTTTTGCCATAGATTTGCATCCAACAACTTAGTGTTAGAGGAGAGAGGGAGAATATGAAAAAGGGCAGTGATGCCATTGCCAGCTATGAAGTTGAAGGATTAGAGCTTTCTCTGAGGTCAAAGCTGGCATCTCCCTCTCTCATTCATATATTGCCCTTTTTCTCTCCATAAACCTCCCACATTCACTTCCTCTCTCTCTCTCTGTCCCTTTATTAACACTTCTCTTTACTTTCTCAAATCTTGGAGCAGAGGAAGCAACGAATTTTGTGGGGGGGGGGGAGAGAAAACAACACACCATCACATTGAAACATATATATATATATATACATCTTTTTTTGATGGTTTGAACTATTGATTCCATCGGTGAACCATATAGTTTCAGGACAAGAGCAACATAGAACAATGGCAGTTTCTTCTACCATTAATGGCGACAAGAAGCACTGGTGGTTCACTCACAGAAAGGTAAACATCTTTCACTTTCTCGAAAATCGTGGTAATGGGTATCCTTATAGTGGATTGAAAGATCTAATCTTTAATCTGGGGTTTGCGCCGCAGTTGGTGGATAAGTACATTAAGGATGCGAGGACTCTGATAGCGACCGAGGACCAGAACGACGTCGCTTCGGCGGTTCACCTCCTGAACGCGGCGTTGGCGTTGTCGCCGCGTTTGGAGACGGCGCTCGAGCTGAAGGCGAGATCTCTGCTCTTCCTCCGCCGCTTCAAGGACGTCGCCGATATGCTTCAAGATTACATTCCCAGTCTCGACGACGAAGACTCCGACGGCTCCTCCTCTTCCTCCTCCTCCGGTCATCTATCTCGCGACCGCGTCAAGCTTCTCTCTGACGCGCCGGACGGCCGCGACCCGTCGTTTAAGTGCTTCTCCGTTTCCGATTTGAAGAAGAAGGTCATGGCAGGTCTCTGTAAAAATGGCGACAAGGATGGGCAATGGAGGTATTTCACTCTTCCCTCTCTCCTTTTTTCCCGAGTAAACGCACCGCTAATTTCGTAAGGAGTAACTGATTAATAATATTTGTTTTTATATATCTTCAGGTACATCGTGTTGGGGCAAGCTTGTTGCCACCTGGGTCTAATGGAGGACGCGATGGTTCTGCTTCAGACCGGGAAACGCCTCGCCTCCGCCGAGTTCCGTCGCCGTAGCATCTGCTGGTCCGAAGATAGCTTCTCTCTCCTCTCCGAAAATTCCTCCTCCGTCGCCTCTGCCGCATCTCCGCCACGCCACCCCCTGACCGAGGCCGAGAGTGTCAGCCACCTCCTCGCCCACATAAAGCTCCTCCTTCGCCGCCGGACCGCTGCCCTCGCCGCTCTCGACGCGGGGCTCTACTCGGAGTCAATCCGCCACTTCTCGAAGATCGTCGACGGTCGCCGACCTGCTCCTCAGGGGTTCCTAGCCGAGTGCTATATGCACCGCGCCACGGCATACAGAGCCGCCGGGCGAATCGCGGAGGCCATAGGCGATTGCAACAAAACACTCGCTCTCAAGCCGTCGTGTATTCAGGCTCTGGAGACAAGAGCATCGCTCCTTGAATCAATCCGGTGTTTTCCCGATTCGCTTCACGACCTTGAACACTTGAAACTTCTCTACAACACCATTTTACGCGACCGGAAACTTCCTGGCCCGCCGTGGAAGCGCCACAACGTGAAATACAGAGAAATCCCCGGGAAATTATGCGTATTGACGACCCAAATCCAGAAATTGAAGCAGAAAATCGCTAATGGAGAAACGGGTAACGTCGATCACTACGGCCTGATGGGAGTCAGACGCGGATGCACTCGGTCGGAGCTCAACCGAGCGCATCTCCTGTTGTGTCTGAGACACAAACCCGACAAGGCCACGTCGTTCATCGAACGCTGCGAGTTCTCCGACCAAGACGCCGTCGATGCCGTCAGAGATCGAGCAAAGATGACTTCGCTGCTGCTCTACCGTTTGATTCAGAAAGGGTACTCCACAGTCATGGCGAACATAACGGAGGAAGAAGCCGCCGAGAAGCAGAGGAAGAAAGCCACGGCGGCTGCGCAAGCCCAAAAGGCGACTCAGAACGCTGAAGAACCGAAACCGGTCGAGAAAACCGGTTCAGTTAAGCGAACATGCCCAGCAGAAACCAAGACGGCGAATTCGAACGCGTATCAAGGAGTGTTTTGCCGAGATCTGGCGGCCGTCGGGAATTTACTGTCTCGGGCTGGTTTTAACCACCCGATTCCGGTGAAATACGAAGCCCTCAGCTGCTAGAGGTCCCCGCCGGTTAATTTTGGAAAACGAACACAACCAAAAAAATATTTTATATAAATATAAAAACATTTGAATGTATGTATGTAATGATAATTTTCCCGCCGGAAAAATTTTGTTGCCTCTGTTTACCTCTGAATCGGTTCCTTTTTCTGCAGATCTCATTATTCACTGTTCATAATCCCTCAGATTTGGATTTTCCACCATCTTACAACTAAAAAACAGTACGTGGTAATGAGCGCTATAAGAGAACTTGAATTTTGGCCACGTGTCATGTTTTGGATCAGGGTCTTTTTTTTTTTTTTTTTTTTTTTTTTTTTTTTTTGGATCAGGGTCTTTGAGGATCTGTCCGGAAGACAATTAAATGAACTGATGCGTCTGACACCCAACGTAACATTCCGATCGATCCCTGATCTACTTTTACCGTCATTAAATGCACTGAGGCCCGGACCATTAAGAAACCAAAACAAAAATTAAAAACTTCAAAGGAAGCCAACAGATTCCAATTTAAATTTCTAATTAAATAATTCGATTTGTTTTTTTTTTCTGAATTCGAGGAGATGGCTAAAAAGGGGGAAATCATCAATAAGTAGAGAGAGCCTCTGCAATTATTTTTCCGCCAGTTTTAGTTTCGGAATATCATTGTATGCCACATGTTCCTACGCAACATTATTTATGGCACATATGCACACTTATAGTATATAATATATTTATATGGCTACATATCATAATATTCTCTGGCTCAAATTTATTGCATGAGCGGTTAAAAGGGAACCGTATTGATTTTAATTGCCTATCTACGTCAGTAGGTTATATGAATATGGATAACCCACAGGTCTTCTTGGTTAGGCTAACATATACAAACGTTAATTAATAAGTGTAGATTTTCAACAAGTCTTTGCTTAATTATGCTTAAAAGAAATCAATGTGAATCTCTTTCCTTGGCTTTCAAGGCACACGAGTCTCCTGTGCCTCTATCCGTAACCATTGGCTTTGCCTTTAATTTCTTCACGCAATTTCTCCTTTTCTCCAATCTACAAGACCTGCACATCTTGATTTTATTATATATATTTATTATGTATATAATAAACTGTGATTTGTTCTTTTTCTGCAGGAAAAATGGCGTATTGAATTTTCAAACTTGATATTTTATTGATCTGGTCAAGATCCTGAATTTAACGGTCCAATAGACCATGCTATTATAAAATAAGGATAAGGGTCCAAACTCATTGGTCTCATATATATATATTTTTTTAATATAACATACGCAAATTAGATTTTAAAAATGCGAACTACGGATGATAATTTGTCATCGATAATTTGAGTCGAGGCAATTATGCGCACACTGTACCATTTTTCAATTATTTGGGTAGTGTAATTATAATCATTTTCGAATGGGGATATAGTTAATTTACAATATACCGGGGGGGAAAGTGGGAATACTTCGAAACCAAGGGGGAAAAATGCAAAATAAAGAACACGTGATTTATAAGATTGGATGTTGAGGACACTGGGAAGAGGGATAGGTCGTGGCCAGATGCGATGATGTCAGTGCATCCATGTGAGCCTATCATGTGCTCTTTTAAGTATCCCATATTTTAAAATTGGTTTACCTTTTTTTTTTATTAGTATACTTTGTTATTTTAAATTATTAAAAAAATCCTTTCAAAATTCTTAGCATAGACTTTTGCTGACAAGGGCTAATATATAATAATTTTCTAAAAGAAAAGAGAAAGGAAAGAATGTGTAGCAATATATCAATTTTTATTAATAAATACATATATACGAGATTGGATTTTTCACATTCTGAGGTTGTGTGTTCCAAGTGTGAACTGTTATTTGTGTCATGAAAGTGTTATTTAACTTTGGTGGGTTATTATTATTATTATACCGTTTTACATCTGCAACTTCTATATCTTTAGAAAAATAAAAATTGCGTGACCATATTTGATATTTGGCAAAATCCCATTAGTTACCATAACGAATGACGAATGACGTCTCAACTAAAGAGCTCTATGGTCCTTACATATAGACATATATGACATGCAAGCATACACGCAGCACTATATAGCGGAATACACATGATGATTTGAGACCCTTCATACATATATGTGCATGCATGCATGCATACATACAGCAACACGTATTAAATAAATATACATATATTATATAAAAAGATGTGAAAGGCAATGTGTGAGGAAGATGAAAGAAAGGGAAATGGAGTGCAGATGAAGCAAACTCGCTGTCTTGCATTTTCAGCCATTTCAATGTAATTCAATCGCTTTCTTCTTACTAATACATGCCCCCTTCTCCACACGACCTTTGTTTGCATATATAATTTCTCTCTCTTTTTTTCTACTCTTACAAACAATAATCAAATATCCATATTCTTCAATTTTAAGGCATACAAACTATGCCTTAAAATCACTCCTAACGATCTTAAAATTGCATATCATGCATGGAAGAATATATAGTACTCGAAATTGGAAAAAAAAAATGTGTACAGTACATGGTATGGTAGCACATATTTCTTCCTACATAATTTGCCTAAAACTATTACAGAGGGGACAATACATATTCTGATCCTTCAAAAAAAAAAAAAAAAAAAAAACCCGAGAATGTAAGAAAATGGAAAGTCGCTGTTGTTTAGGAGAGGACTTCCTTGATCTTCTTCCTCTGATCATCAGTAAGAGAAGACGGGAATGTAACCTCGAAGGTCACATACATGTCTCCTTTCTTCGTGCTGTAGTAAACTGGCATTCCTTCTCCCTTTATCTTCCTTACCTCTTTCGGCTTTGTTATACCCTGCGCCCGTCAAACGTTTAAAAAAAAAACATTTGCACAACTCGAAACTAGAGGTTTGAATTCAATTTGGCTGCTCGAAAACGTTCATTAGCCTGATCTAATTTAGATAATGCGATTGTACCTTTGAACTGATGTCGACGTCATGATCGTCGAGATGTTTGATGGTCTTCTGGAATCCGACGAGAGCTTCCACCTGAGGGAACGTTGAAGCAATCCGAATATGAAATGAACCCTATTGCTTTCTGGTCAAGAATATGAACGCAGAGTCAGAGGAGTTGGCAGAGCTACCAGGGATATGTCCACAGTCATGTGCAGATCGTTGCCATCCCTTCGGAACCGGCTGTGAGGTTCTGTGCGGATACGGAACTGTCAAGGCAAAGCTCGCAGTCAGTTTCAGCTTTTGATGTGAAGAAAGATACATTGCAAAATCGGCACAGAAACCTAACCTTAAGGTCACCAGGTTCACCGTCTATTATAGGCTCACCATCTTCGTAGAACACTACTTCCTGAAAGATGGAATCATGGAAACAGAGACAGCTTAAACATCTGGACAATCTCATGTCAGGTGAAAAAAAAAAGACAGCCATAGATGGCAGAACTTGTTGGGAAAGAAGTCCTCAAAAGACTGATTCACTTAGAGCAGCCTGGTTCTTTTCGAAACTTACTTGTCCATCTTGCATTCCTTTCTCGATATCGACGGTAACAAAGTTTCCCTCCCGTTCATGCTTGACATTCGGGCATTGCTCACAGACCTGAGAGAATCGATAGATATGCATTGAGATTTGAGTGACGGGCAGAGCACGATATCAGGTTGAAGTGGAGGTTTGGAGACACCCGAGTCGATCTAAAGTACCTGCTCTGTCATCTGTTGGAACATTCCAGGACCGATTTGTCTATGATAGACCTCATTCCTGCAGTTACACTTTCTCTTTCCTGGTGCTGGTTTTAGGACGTTTTTCTCTCTCCAAACCTGTGAAATTAAGGTAACCCTAACTCAGTGAGAAAATGCAATGTTTCAAAAGATCTAAAGAGGAAAACTGGATCCATCTAGACAAAAAGAGCAAAGCAAGTGCAGTTCTCTCGCATCTCTATCTAAATTCGCAAGGACTGTGGCATTGATATTAGGCTTCATGATCAGATCTTGTCAGTCAGATATATCCGAATCAAAGCAACAGCTTGGAGAAATAACAAAACAAAGTTTTGTAAACAGCAGAAAACAGCCCGACGGATCAATGACACACCTTTACAGAGCCTCCCATGTACAGATCTTCAAGAGAAGCGTCAAGTTCAACAATCACATCATCACCTTTAACAATCTTCTCTTCTTCCTCCATCGAACCTCCCCCAAAAAACCTAAAAGCGAAAGTAATGATCTCAGGACGTCAGCAGAATGCACGTTTGGCATGAATGAAGAGCTTCCGGAGGGATAACAATCACATTGGAAATGTAACACCAAAAAAAAAACTATTTGTAACCATGAGGAAAAACTTGGTGAGACATTTATGTTAGGGGTAATTAACATTAGCCCTAAGCTACAAGCCTACAATGTTTCTTATAGCCTGGACTTAGTACCTCTAATTGGAACGAATCAAAAGAGTGATCCCCATCATCTTCCTCATCAAAGAAGAGAAAAAAAGACAGCATTTTTGTTCCAACAGTGGGGGGAATGCCAATGCTTACGTACCAAAGACAGGAAAATCTCAGTAAAACTTACTGGCCAAATATGTCCTGGATGTTGATACCACCCATTCCCCCACCCCTGCCTCCATTAGCAGCGAACTGTTTAAGCCCCTCTTCTCCATACTTGTCGTATATTTCCCTCTTCTCACCATCCGATAGTACCTCATAAGCTGTGTCATGGCACCAAATGACAATCAATCCACTACACTGATATAATCCCTCAGCTAACATGTCCTCAATTCGATATGGAAAGACAGGCCCCTGAGGCAAATCGGGATAAACACCACAGAGTTGTTTGAAATCAAAAGAGAATAATACCATTGTTGATCTCCGCGAATTTACGGTTTGCTTCCTCGTTTCCTTGATTCTTATCGGGATGATACTTCAATGCGAGCTTCCTGTAAGCTCTTTTGATCTGTTCATCAGATGCACCTCTCGGCACTTGCAGCATATCGTAGTAGCTCTTCCTGAATCATCGAGGATATCGGACCAAGTAATTAAAACAAGGATATGCCAATCAGAAGCATATATGCACACACATTTCAATTCCAACCACAACGCGCATTCCGCAAACTGATATACGCACCGAGCTCTTTACGCATAGACGAAATGCTTACCCAGCAAGAACGGTGACTGCCCATGAAAGAGCGAACAAGACGAAAAACAGCTTCGAACTCCGAAGTGCCATGGAAATGCAGATCAGGAGAATCGGATCTCTCCGAGATCTTCAACTCCTAGGTTTCCTTCAACCTAAATCACAAAAGAGAATCTCCCGATCTCGAGAAGATGAAGATTCCCTTCTTCGCGACTTACGACCGGAGGAATTCCAATGTCTTCTTGGACTCTTGTTCTGATGCTTTCTTCTTCCTTCCCTCCTTCCGCCGAACGATTTGGAACGTTTTAGAGTTCGAAACGCAGAACACGGTTTACGTATACTCTCGCAAGCTTGACCAATCAGTGTTCAGTTAGTGATTGTTTCATCCAATTAAATACTTCCACGTGGAGACACCTGTCAATTGGTTTCACCCACGAGACGACGTCGTTTAGAAGACAGTCATCAGAAGTAGAGCCCACAAATCAGTGAATGGGCTGAGTTTAAATTGGTAGATGAAACTAATGGGCTTTGGTCCATGGATTGATTGCGTAAACCCATGAAGAAGAAATAACATATGCTCTTAATATATTATACACATAATGAGACTCGGTATGTTACGATTACGATTAGGTTTAGGTTTAGGGTTTAGGGTTTAGGGTTTATACAATAGTTCTTTCTCAAATCAATTATCATTTTTTTTTACGTATCCTGTTTTCTTGTAGCTTGAATATGGACTATTCGAGAGTATTCGGATACAAATTAAGTTATAATATTTTAAAATGATCAATCAAATTATAGTGGATTCTCTTGGGTGGGGGTGGCTATGTGCATTTCTCTGCTTGACATTTATCAATGGAAAAGGTATGTATATATATTATATTCCCAACAACTCCAACAAATATTTGTAAGTTTTCTGTAGCTAATGCTAACTTTAATGTGTCTCTGATTGACGATGATATTTCAACACACAACACAAGTTGCGAAATAAAATAAAATAAAAAGGACAAAAGAAATGTCGTTGTCCTTTGAATTTATAGTGCGACCTTGTTCCATAGCCTTTGGAACCATCCACGTGAATGTATAATTGCTAATTGACATATATTATGACGCTGTGTATATAAACATGGTAGAGTGAAAATAGCTGAGTTATATACAGTGGACCGTTGTACGATTCAATCGATATATGGGGCATGTGGACAACATTAACTACAAAAACTTACAAAGAATTTATATATATAGCACCGGAGCCCTAGATTTCATGGGCATTGTAATTTGTAGATTCGTTTAATAAGTTATACAACAATGTTTTTTTTTAAATATATATACAGTTGCAATAAATAATGATTGGGATGATGAACCAAATAATTTATTTATTTTTTCGTGTGTTGCGGACCACGAGATTACCGTGGAGCACTTATTCATCATCCATCGTCGCGGACCCAAAAAGGTATAAGCGAATCAATGATATGCCATAATGGATGAAAAAAAATTTTATCGCCTTATTAAAAAAATATATATATAAATATGTATGATGAGACGAAAAAGAATATATAATTTAAAAACAATATAGATTTGTATTGTAGTCGAATCTAGAGCCGAATTTCTAATGTCAAGAGTTCTGTTAATTGTGTTAGAATTGCGTTGAAAAGTACGTATTCTGTTGCAATTCTGCGTTAAATATAATGTTGGATTTTTAGTTTTTTTTTTCAGTGTAGTTAAATATTTAATAAAAACGATAATTCTTCTCATCCAATTTAATATATGATATTGATAAACAAAATCATCACGATTATGATATATTATTTATTAACACTAATTAATGAGAGTGATATTCCAATCTGCTGGTTTATACAGTATATGTTATATCAATTAATTAAAATTCGTGGAAGGCCTTGAAGGCTAGAATGGACAGTGAAACGCGACGTTGATACATTCATTTCAAATAAACATATACCAATGTGGATTTTTACATGCATGAGATTCGAACAAGGCCTAAACAACGACCGAGGCATCAGAGATCAAACTTGGCCTAAGCCACTCAAGAACAAAACTAAACACACAACACAACAATAAAAAAAATATATACCAAAGAAAAAATCATGTTTTATTAGCTTAACCGCCTTAAATTAGGTATATAGAAAAAGAAAATAAACAAATATTCCGTACTACGTGGCCCAAATCCATTAATATGAATAGGAAATGTTAGACGGAAGAGTAAATGGGTAACAAATGTTGTCAGAAGTTTCTGATTTTTTTTTTCATAGAAAAAATTGCATGGCATGCAAGATACATACATACATACATGCATGTATGTAATAGCATGTAATTAAATAATATAAAAATAATGTTTTTACCTTACAAGATCGAAGTTCGTTGCAATGGAAAGCACTATTGTAAATGCTTGTCGCTAGGGGTAGGCAAAAATATCCGAATTTTTGGGTCGGGTATCAAAAAATTCGGGTATCCGAGCGAATGATATATGAGATTGGGTATTAATATTAGAATACCCGAATTTTTGGATTCGGGTTCGGATAATGGTTATTATCTCATGGTTACCCTTAGATATCCGGATAATAAAAAATTATGTTTTAAATTTTAGATTTTTTATTAGATTTTGTGTTATTTTATTTAATATTAATGATTATATAGATATTATTGGATATATTTATGATGTATTTTTTAAAAAATAAACTATTTTAGATATAAATACAATTTAAATTTATTTTGAATGATTTTGAGTATGTATATATAAATATATTTTAAAAAATTGATTGAAAATAATTACAAATATTTAGGTTCGGTGGTTCTCAGATACCCGAGAATTATCTCACGGATTTTTGGATTCGGGTATCCGACTTCACGGGTACGAGATCGGGTAATAAAACATATAATCCGAGACGTTCGGGTTCAGATTCAGGTACCTTCGAATTTCCGGATACCCGATCCGTGTCCACCCCCAGGTGTCGCAGACTTACTTTGGTTGGAGTTCTTCCTATACATGATCTGACTAGTCATGTGATTTGTGTATATGACGTCATGTGAATGTGTATTGTACGTATAATTATTGAAGGTTGAAATCATTAATCTAAAAATATTTTGATTAACAAAATGTTAGTTGTTGTCAATGGGTTTGTACACACATGTAGAATTGGATTTGAATACAGAGACAACAAAATAACTAAATTCCTAACATGTACTTTTTGGTGAAGTCTAAGAAAACAGATTCAAAGGAAAATATCAGTCAATGTGGCCTAACTCGTGTATCTACTTATATATATATATATATATACACATGTATATACGCTTTCAGCTCGGGAAGACTATGATCACGGGACCATGCATGTGAAAGGGGTCGGCACATGGAATCTTCCGCATAAAAATTCCCTCTGACAAAATGTGCGATCAGTACCCCTGCGACGTCTACGTATCATATTGTCGATATATCATACAAGGGGAAAATATATTAATAAGTCAATTACATTTATTCTGTCAATTTGTAAGCACTGTTTTTTTGTTTTCTGCGTGCTTCTTTTTTCTAAAAAGGTATACAATTGAAAGTTTGCAACTGCAATATTTATTTACAATAAGTTAACAAAAAAAAATATTTATTTACAATATAGCGCCTAATGGAACCACGAGGAAGGTAGAGGGGCCGGCGAGGGCACTCGACCGTAGATGAGCCACGAGGGCAGCCTCAAAGGAGTCCTACGTGGCGTATTCCTATGCCACACACGTGTCACAATCTCCACTCTCTTTCTCATCAATACCCACCCAGTGCTCTTTTCTCTCCCTCTCTCTCTCTATAAGTATTAAGCAGTGAGTGAGTCAGTCACGTGTCACAGTACGTACAGTCTAGTCGGGGGTCACGTGACGGGGAGATGGGACGAGCGCCGTGCTGTGAGAAGGTGGGGATGAAGAAGGGGCGGTGGACGGCGGAGGAAGACCATCTCCTCTCCTCCTACATTCTCTCCCACGGCGAAGGCTCTTGGCGTTCCTTGCCCAAACACGCCGGTACCTCTCTCTCTCTCTCTCTCTCTCTATATATATATATATATGTGTGTGTGTTCTTTGTGTATTCGACATGGCTATGAAGCTAGAGAGCATTGTGTGTGTGTGTGTGTTTTATTATTTTATTTTATAAACGTGTTTTTTTTAAATTGCAATTTTACATGTATCGTATATTTGCCTCGATTGGTGTTGTTTGATCTTCTTGACCATATATTTCCCTTTGTTCTTGTAAGTTTGTCGTCAAATCATATATACATATATGTATATTACTTTCTTTTGTGCATGCATCGTATATTATTGTCGTGATCATATTTAGAATCCGCAGCTGTATCTTCGATGTCAAATCAGTGAAATCACTGTGGTAAAAGAGAAATTGCATTTAATATATTTATACATAGACTAGACGTTAGATTTCAGACCGATGAGTAATTGCACTTTATCGAGGAATGAAAAGATAACTTTGATGGATGGAGGGTTCTCTGCCCCACGAAACGACGTGATAGTTCATGTTGAATAACTAATACTATATTTATTATAGTGTTCGTATAAATAGTTTAAGTATTTCTTATTTGATGAACTATATTTAGCTTAAATTAAATAGATTTGATCTTGATTAGGGTTTTTTCCTTTTCTGATAAGATGTATAACAAAAAAATTCAGCAGGTCTTATTCAACAATTGAATGATACACGTAAGATAATATGATAAAGATGATATTGTAAGCATCTTCAGTGGTTGAATATTGACTCGGAACCACGATATGGCCGAAAGACGCCCTAGTGTTTATCGAACAAAGCACCCGTACGTCGACTGTTGACTTTTGGGCATGCCGATGTATAAAACTGCCGTTTCACGTTTTTTCCATTATTTTAAATGGAAACTAAGACCCACGGATTTAAAGCTCCATTTTCTTTTTTAATAATAAGTAATTAGTTCGTGTTCTATATGTACGAGCAACCGTTAGATGTTGAATTTTATATTTTCTTAACATTACTAATTAACATGCAATATGCACATATATCCACCGCGACAGGGTTGAAAAGATGCGGAAAGAGTTGCAGATTAAGGTGGATAAATTATCTACGATCAGATATCAAGCGGGGGAACATAACTCCACAAGAGGAGGAAATCATTGTTAAGTTGCATTCCTCTCTAGGAAACAGGTACTCCAATCTCATTCCCGAAACCTAATCTCTTCCCGTACCTTTGGAACTGTCCGACAATTATTTCCACAGGCACAGAATCTGAATGCGGAACCGGAAGCATATAACGAGTTATAACTCAAGTTTTACACAATGACAAGAATTTTATAGGAGTTGTGGCTGTTTGAGAAAACATCGTTTAGTGGGTCCGACGCTTTTATAAACACTATACTTTTTTTGAGCTGACACACAGAAGACGAACAAATACTTGGATGACAGAGAAAACAAAACAAAAATGTCGGAATCTGCGTCGCTCTCGAATTCTAATTATGTTCAACAATACATTTCAAATCGAAAAATGTCCTGACTGCATGGCATCCGTATGGGTAATTATTACTTCGAATGGTGATTAATACGAAATTAATGTTAATCACAATAGTAAACTCTTTGGATGTAGATGGTCGCTAATAGCAACTCATCTGCCGGGGAGAACAGACAACGAAATAAAGAATTATTGGAACTCTCATCTGAGCCGGAAACTTCACAGTTTCATCAGAAAAACGACGGTCTCTCAAGAAGTCGCCGCCGTTGTCATGAACGCCATCAAGAACGTTAATCCTTCGCCGTCGCCCAAACGCAGAGGGAGAACCAGAAGATCCTCCATGAAGGTCAAAACCTCAAACCCCAAAAACTCCACGAGGAAGACGAAGCAAAACGTCACTGGTACGCACAAAACGAAGCCACCAGCAGCTGATGTGGAACGCCAAGAAAACGCAGAAAGTGGCGGCGCGATATCGCGCGTTTGCGAAGAGAGAAGTGGTAAAAAAGAGGCAGCCAAAGAAGATGCATTAATGGTGTTGTCAAGTTGCAGCGGTGGAGCCGACACTTCGATAGGTTTCATTGCGGATTTAGGACCATGTGGATACGTTGACAACATTGACTATGATCTCAGCATTAATGGCGACATTGAAGATTTGTCCTTCGATGACACTTTTGACGGTTATCTCCACTTGGATGAGTCCGGGCACGTGTTTTCATGGTACGGCGAAGAAGAGCCTAACAACCCAGGAGACTCCGAACCAGTCAGAGGGTCTGGAGACATCAAACACTCTGTCTCGGACCAAGATTCCGCCGGTCTCGAGAATATCGGTGGCGGCAGCTGTAGTAGGGAGATTCTTCAGTCGTGTCCTTCGGTCGAATCGTTTCTTAGCTATGACGAGGTCAATGATGGGAGCGATGAGTTAATGCATTCTATTTCTGAGCAGACTTTTGTGGGTAATGGAAATCTCAACAGCAGCGGTTGCCGTGGCGTTAGCGTTAGTGGCTCGAGCTCATGGACCGGTGATGCCACGCAGTCGTGCTCGGCGGTGGAGTTTCTGAACCAGGACCTGGCCAACGAGATAACCGACGAGTTCATTGACTGGGACTCAGTCTTGCACGAAGGTCAAAACCTTTGGGAGGAGAAGGAGAGTCCGGATTCGCTCTTGTCGTGGTTGTTAGAGGATGAAAGAACCACCGCCTTCGGGCAAAGCACTAGCGACTACGATTCCGGAGAATGGGATCGCGAGAAGGAAAACGCGATGGTGACGTGGCTTCTTTCATGATGTGCAAATGCCAATGCCAAATGTGTAGGTTTTATTTTGTCCTTAGGCTTGGCGACACGTGGCGTTATCTCGTCTGTACAGTGGAAATTTGTCTTTGTGTCGTAATGTCGAGATCTTTTGGTCGTTTAATGTCTTTTTCTAATGGCCTAATGAATAAAACATGTCGCATTTCCGTCTGTAGCTTTTTGAGGAAACACTGTGTGAGATGTACATATACAATTAAATAAACACATACGGACGTGCGTATATATATATATATATATATATATATATACACGAGTGTAATTAACTGTACCAAATAAATATATAATGATTCGCATAATACGAAGGGGACTTAATATTCCAGGAATTGGAATTATTTTGTCAGTTTCCCCTACAATTAGTCTCATATAATTAATCACAAAGGACAAATATAGTTGTGCATTTATTCAAACCATAACCAAGCGCAGACTTTTCTCCCATTTATATTATCGGAAAAGACATTTAACCAGAAAGGAGTAGACGTCACTAAAAAACGTCATGTTGATGGACTAAAGGAGATATTTGGTTTTTTCCCCTCACAGAAAAGAATATTAAGTTTTAAATTCTGCCACTAAGCCCAGTTGTCTGCACGAAATTGGGCCTCATTTTGTTAAAAAGTTGATATGGTACCAACAATTTAAATAAGCCCATTTTGACCCAATTTATAGGCCCAGTTTTATCTGTGGGAGATGTGCGTGGATGATTTGAAGGGGCAAATTAAATAACTGGCTGGTGACAAAATACTGTAATATAAAACAATAAAAAACGATTTTTCGTTTAAATTATTTTTATCTAACAAGATAAAATTTTAAGGTTAAAAATTATGTTTCACTTTTAAAAAATTATCTGAATAAAACGGAACTCTAAAAAACAAAGATCGACTTCTCGTTAGGGCTGCCATTTAAGGCTCGACACGTCATCCAGCCACGTAAACTGAACTTACCATCGCCGTCCGCTTATCAGCAGCTAAATGTACGAGTGAGATTGTGCCACGTCATCACCGTCTCTTTTTTTTTCCCATACAAGCGAATATATTTAATCCAATCAAATTTAGAGACGCAGCGTTTATTTGTCAATAACAAAGGCATTCTAAAAAAGCACAAATTTCTTGGATCAAAGCTTGGAGTGATAGAAAAATGGTGACATCTCAGATCTGTTTAGGTTTTGGCTTCTTGGCATTGCTGTTCGTGTCGGCCGTAGCAGACGACGTGGTTGTGCTGACGGAGGACAACTTCGAGAAGGAGGTCGGCCAAGACAGAGCAGCTCTTGTCGAGTTCTACGCTCCCTGGTAAAAACATTTCTTCCGTCACGGATTTTTGGATTCGGGTATCCGACTTTACGGGTA